CGCTGTGTTCCCACTGTGAGCGGATCTCCACACCCAGCACCATTCTGGGGGCAGCCTGCACCTTACACTTCCAACGTGAACAGGCACACGTCCTGGGCTGAGGCCTGCGCCTTCAGCCTAGGCTGAGGAAAAGAGCAACACATCCGAAACAATAGAAAACTTGCCTTTTTTATTCTTTGTTTTTATTATTTTTTCGGTTTTTGTTTTACATTTTTATAATTTAAAATTCTTCCCCCGCTACATTTATCCCATTATTTTACTCCCTTTTTTTTTATGAGCACGTCTGAGTGTGTGTGCTTCTCTTCCTTTTGCCTTTATTCTCCCAGTATAATTTATAGGGACTAAGAGAATTCTCTCTTGTCCCTTTATATCCTTCCTGCTTTTATCTGTATCACTTCACCTGAATTCTTTTTCCTCTTATTCATTCTCACTTTTTCTCCTCTTTCTTCTCCCACATTTTATTTGTCTCCTGTTAGGGCTTGTGTCTCCCTGCAAAGCCTCATGCAGTCATAGGTGGGGCTTTTTCAGAGGTGGCTGGATCTAGAGTGTGTGACATTAGGATTAATTCATGGTGCAACGCTAGGCTCAAGGGGACTAGGATTAAGGGTATGAGTGCTCCCCACCCTGGATAAGATATAAGAGATAAAAAGAGCTGTGGTTCTGTCTTGCTTGCTTTGCTACCTTCTGCCTGCCATGAACTGTTTCTCCTCTGCAATGCCACCCTGTCTCAGAGCCAGCCGACTATGGACTGAGACCTCTACAAACTGTGAGCTAAATAAAGCTTTCCTTCTTTAACTCTGGATGTCAGGTACTTTGTTTCAGCAATGAGAAAATAACTAAGCCATCTCGCTTTAACTCTTTCTTTAATATTTATATCAGTCATAGCATCTTTTCCCATGCCCATTTCTCACTACCAATTTTGTGCCCAATTTTCCGTTATCCTCTTCTAAATATAAATATACCATCATTAGCATCCTTTGCCATCTTCCTATTTCCTCCTTCCCATATCACAGAGCAGAGGACTTAAAAAAAACCTTTCTTTTTCTTTTTTCTCTTCTCTTCCCCACTCCCTGGGCTTTGGATAACTGATTTTATGAAATTACTGCTGAATGCTATTTTTCACCTTGAGAGGAGACAGGGTCATTGCATTTGGTGCACCTGACTGTGGCTTAAGAGTTGGGTTGTCACGAAGCTTACACTATAAATGTACACTTATTCTCTATGCTAAAGGAAGATGCAAAACAGGGTCTCATGGCATGTTATTTCTCAACCAGCCCTGATAGATTCCATGGTAATGGATTAGCCTAGTACTGCTGTAGCTGATTTGATAGCACAGGAATAATTCTAACTCAGTGGACAATCTGGTGCCAGTGAAGCTGTCTGCCAAATCCACCATCACACCCAGAGAGAGGGACAACAAGAATTCCTAACCCAAGAACTCAGGCTGGATCAGACTCTGCAAAAGTACATGCAAAATATATAATTTCAAATCTTCCTCTCTCTCTCTCTCTCTCTCTCTGTCTCTCTCTCTCTCTCTCTCTCTCTCTATATATATATATATACATATATATATACATATATATAGACATGTTTACATATATGTGTGTGGGTGTGTAGGTCTGTACACATAAGAGAACAGGGAAGCAAAGAGGAGATCTATGGCTCCCCCCAGTCCTACCAAGGTAGAATAAGGGGTCACAAAAGGAGAGGAAAACAAATACCAGGTAGCAGAAACCTATGAAAAGTTCATATAAGGGATGAGGAAATAGATGAGTTCAAAGAAGAAATGAACCAAAGTTCTCTGCAATTTCACTCAACTTGCCCAAGATGAATTTTGGGGAAACAGGTAAAAAACTGGACGAGCTAGCCAAAATGTTGAATGACAGATTCAACAAGGATATGGAATCCTTAAAAAGATTTTAGACAGAACCACCTGAAATAAAAATTGTATGGAATTCACACAGTGCAGAAATGACCAATGTGAAGACAGAGTTCTGACATTGAGGACAAAACAGTGAATTAGGATAAAGAGCTCAAAGAAGCTAAAAAGAAAGTAAGAGAACAAGAGAAGACTATGCAACAGCTGCTAGATGACAAGAAGACCAATCTAAGGCTAATCAGAGTTAGAGAAAAACTAGAAGACAGCACAGATGGACTCACTAACCTGCTTATACAAATCCTGGAAGAAAACTTCCCAAACTAAGAAGAGTTTAAAATACAAGTAGGTGACACCTTTAGAATACCATACAATTAGGATAAAAAAAAAAAAAAAAGCTCACCAAGGCATATCCTTATTAAACTACCAGATATTGAAGAAAAAAATAAGAATTTTAAAGGTAGCCTAAGGGGGAAAAAATCACATGTAAAGGTAAACCAATGAGATTCACCGAAGACTTCTCAACACATACCCTGAAAGTCAGAAGAGCTTGGAGTGAAGTATTTCAAGCTCTAGAAAGCAAATAATTTTCAAAATTTCCAGCTCAACTTACCCACCAAAGCTGTCTTCAGAATAGGTGGAGAAAGAAGGAATTTTCATTAAGAAGTGCAACTCAGAAGATATATGAATGCTAAACCAGTTTTATTGAAATTACTTGAGAATATTCTTAAAGAATATTCTGATTCAAGAAAGAATTAATTGGACACAGCCAAAAATACAGAAAAAACTAATGAGGTCAATGGGTAAACAGCTACAAAAAACATCAGGAAAAGAAAAACAAAGAATACACCAACAAATAAAATGATAATAGTAGTAAACAGCCACTGCATCTCAGTAATATATCTCAATGTTAAAGGCCCAATGCTTCAATTAAAAGACATAGACTTGCAGATTGGATCAAAAAACAGAACCCAATAATCTGTTGCATTCAAGAAACTCAGCTAATCCAAAAAGATATTCCTAGACTAAAAATTAAAGGACAGAAAGTAACATTTCATGAACCAGGACCCTGAAAACAAGCAGGGGTAGCAATTTTAATATCAGACATGGTAAACCTCAAGCTAAAACTGATTAGAAGAGACAAAGAAAGTCACTAACTACTAGTTAAAGGAACAATCCAACAAGAAGAGATAACATTGATAAACATATATGCACAGAATACTGCGGCACTTATCTTCACTGCTAAAATTAAAAGATCAAATAAGCACTAACAATCATAATAGGGGATTCTAATGCCACACTTTCCAAAAGAGATAGAACAAGTAAACAAAAAAACCAATAAAGAATTTTTAGACCTGAACCACACCCTTGAACAAATGGAGTTAATGGATATCTACAGAGTATTCCATCTCTCTACAACAGACTATGCCTTCTTTTCAGCAGCAGATATTCCAAAACAGATCAGATATTACTCCACAAAGCCTGTTTAAGTAAATAAAAAAAAGAATAGAAATTACCCCATGCATACTATCAGATCAATGAAAACAGAAATCAACAAAAGAAATTTTGGAAAAGGCAAAACTTCCTGGAAAATTAACAATACACTCCTAAGCAACCAATATGTCACTAAAGAAATCACAGAAGAAATTTTAAAATTTTCTAAAGTTAATGACAACTGTGGTACAACTTGTCAAAACCTCTGATACATGCGGGGTGTGGTGGTACATACCTGTAATCCCAGCACTTGAGAGGTTGAGGCAGGAGGATTACTATGAGTTTGAGGTCAGCCTGGGGTACAGAGTAATTCGTCATAATCTATGCTCACATTCGGAAAACAGAGCAAGATCAAATACACAATGTTATGAGAAATCTTAAGATAATTGAGAAACAAAAACAATGTAGCCCAAACTGAAACTAAGGAGGAGGAGATTACAAAGGTGAGAGAAGAAATCACTGAAATGGAGGCTAAAAAAGTAAATAAAAATCAATGAATTGAAGAACTGGTTCTCTGAAAGAAACAAATAAAATAGATGCATTGTGTCAACTTGAGAAGTTTAGAGGTTTAACTAAGTGACTCAGTAGAGGGCCAGTGTCCTCAATTTGTACACATCCTGATCCTGTGCAAGAGGAGGGCAGGGAGATGGTGTGGGTGTAAAGGACCCACCCAAAGGCAGATAGCTTACATATAATATAAGGGAGGGAAAGAGGCTTGCTCTCCCCTCTTTTGCTGTTGTTGCTTTTGCTGTCTTCTGCTGCCTTAAATGGTTGCTCCTGTGCCATGTGCCACCTTGCCTTGGAGCCAGCTGATTATGGACAAAGCTTCCACAAACTGTGAGCTAAATAAACTTTTTCTTCCTTAATTTTGGGCATCAGGAATTTTGTCCCAGCAACAAGAGAACAGTACGTAAGACATAACCTTAGTCAGACTTACCAAGAGAAAGAGAAAAAGAAAAAAAGACTCACATCGATGCAGTTAGAAATGACAAATGTGAAATTAAACAGTGTGGAAATTCAAATTGAAAAGTTTTATTCGAACAAATTACCAAATGTCCATTTCTTTTTTTTTCTTTTTTTCTTTTTTTTTTGGTACCGGGAATCAAACTCACCACCTTGCGCTTGCCAGGCAGGCACTGTGCCACTAAGCTATATCCCTGGCCCAAATGTCCATTTCTTAATGGACAGATTTCTAGATACAAACTACCAAAACTAATCCAAGAAGACATAAATATGCTTAAAAACCCAATATAAACAATGAAATTGACACAGTAATAAAGAATCTACCAACCAAAAAAAGCCCAAGACCTGATGGATTCACTTCTGAATTCTACAACACCTTTAAGGATGTTATGTCACCATAGTCCTCAAGCTCTTCAAAGAGACTGAAAGGCATGGAGTGCTCCCAAACTTATTTATGGATCCCAATATCACCCTGATCCTAAAACCAGATAAAGACCCAACTAAAAAGAAAACTATAGGCAATCTTCTTAATGAACATAGATGCAAAAAAATCCTAACACACAATTAAGCACACTGTCAAAATGATCAAGTAGGTTTCATGTCAGAGATGCAAGGATGGTTCAACATATGTAAGTCAATAAATGTAATATATCACATAAATAGAAGCATGGCCAAAAACCTTATGATCATATCAACAGATGGAGAAAAGGCTTTTGACAAAATCCAACACCACTTATTTGTGATAAAAACTGTGAAGCAACAGGTATAGAAGAACCCATACCTGAATATGAGAAAGGCTATTTATGACAAACCCACAGCCAGTGTCATACTAAATGGAGAAAAACTAAAGCCATTTCCCCATAAAATCAGGAATAAAGCAAGGATGTCCACTATCACAGCTTCTATTCAGCATAGTACTTGAAACATTAACCAGAGAAATCAGGCAAGATAAAGAAATGAAAGTGATACACATAGGAAAGGAAGAACTCAGATTACCAAGATTTGCAGATGACATGATGCTCTGCATAGAAGTCTCAAAGAACTGCACCAAAAAACTCTTAACAACTAACTTCAGCAACATAGCAGACTACAAGATCAACACACAAAAATTATTAGCATTTGGGTACACCAACAATGAATGGGATGAAAAGGAAATAATGAAAATAATATCATTTACATTAGCTGTAAGAAAAATGAAATATGTAGAAATTAACCTAACCAAAAAGTGAAAGACTTCTATAAAGAAAACTATAGTACTCTGAAAAAAGAAATAAAACAGGTCATCAAAAAATGGAAAGATGTCCCCTGCCATGGAGAGGCAGAATCAATATTGTCAAAATGGCCATACTCCTCAAACTATTATACAGCTTCAATGCACTCCCAATCAAAGTACCAACAGAATACTTTACATATCTAGAAAAAGCAATCCTATAATTCATATGGAACCAGGAGAGACCCAGAATAGCTAAAGCAATTTTTGGCAACAAGAACAAAGCAGGAGCATAACAATACCTGACTTGAAGCTGTACTACAAAGCAATAGTGATTAAAAAAAAAAAAAAAAGGTAAAGTACTAGAACAAAAACAGATGCATGGATCAGTGGAACAAAACTGAGGATACAGAAACTTCTCCAGACACATTCAGCTATTTGATCTGTGCCAAAGGGGCCAAAGGCATATGTTGCAAGAAAGATGACCTATTCAACAAGTGGTTCAGGGAAAACTGGTTATCTGTGTGCAGAAGATTGAAAATGGACCCTTATCTCTCCCCATATACTAAAATCAGAATGGGTTAAAGATCAAAACATTAAAACAGAAGCATTAAACCTACTGGAAGATAAAATAGGTAAAACAGCTGTAGGAAAGGATTTTCTAAACAGAACCTCAACTGTACAAGAAATAACAGCGAGAATCAACAAATAGGATGATATCGCACTAAAAGCTTCTTACGGCAAAAGAATCAATTAGTAGAGCGAAGAGACAACCTACAGGATGGCAACATTTTTGCCAGCTACTCCTCAGACAAATATGTAGACTATACAAAGAACTGGAAAAAAATTTTGCCACCTAAAATTAAAGATCTCGTCAACAAATGGGCAAGAAAAATGAACACATACTTTATTGAGGAAGAAATACCAATGGTCAATAAATATATGAAAAAATGCTCAATATTTCTGGTCATTAGGGAAATGCAAATTAAAACTGTACTAAGATTTCACCTTACTCCAGAAAGAATGGCAATCATTAAGAAATCAAACAATAACAAATGCTGTGAGGCTGTGGTGAAGATGAAATTCTCCTTCATTGTTGATGGGAATGTAAACTAGTACAACCACTATGGAAATCAGTTTAGAGATTTCTCAAAGACTTGAAATTAGAAATCGCATATGATTCAGCAATCCCCCTACTAGGTATTTTCCCCAAAGAGCTTACAACATCATCCTAAGGCAATACATACATACCAATGTTTATAGCAGCATAATTTGTAATCACTAAATTCTGGAAACAGCTTGGATACCCACCAACAGATGATTTGATAAAGAAAATGTGGTATCTACATATAATGGAATACTCTCAGCTATGATGGCATATTTGCAACATTTGTAGGAAAATGGATGCACCTTGAAAAAATAATGTTGCTTGAAATGAATGAGACACGCAAGCTTAAATTCCATATGCTACTTCCTTTGAATGAGGCAAAGTACAGAGAGACTAATAAAGGATGCATAGAAGGGACAAGGAGACGGATCTCTTGTGATAGGGAAGTGATCCAAGAGCAAAAGCTCCAGGTGTGGTTAGGAGGCGAACAGGAAGGAAACAGAATGAAGATAAACTGTGTACAGAAACGTAATAACCTCAGTGGGTGTAAATGTCATATCCCATAACATGAGCTGAAGTTAGTATCAAGAAGAATGGAAAATGGGATGGGGAAATGGGGAGGGGGAGGGAAAGAGAAGGGGATTAGAAAAAGAAGCTGTAGTATGTACATGTAACTACTCTGCAAGATGATTTTAAACTGCGTGAAATGCAAACATGTACTAATAACATAAAAAAAGTTTGGATTTAGCTAAAAGTCAAGTGTAGGTGTTCATGAGAGTTCCACTGACATTTCAAACTAATTCTTAGAAAATATCTTTGATATTATGTTTATGTCTTTTCCTATGTCCCCCAAATCTTGATGGTAGAACTATGTCCCATTTCTGACTTAAGTGATCAGTAAATGTTTATGCTTGCCCCATATGGGGATACTTCCAGCTCCGTCGGGGCTAAGCACCACCTTGTAGTTGTGGCTACAAGATTGAAACTGTGCAAATGGTCTTAACTTAGTAAAAAGTTTTGTTACGGTTTTTTTTTAGGTGTGTGTGCCAGGAATTGAACTCAGGACCTTGCACTTGCCAGGCAGGGGCTTATGCCACTGAGCTAAGTCCCCTGCCCAGGGTTTTGTTTTTGTTTTGCCCTTTTGCTCTCATTTTCCTCCTTCTGGAAGGACTGCAGGCTGGAGCTCCAGCCTCCACATGGGACTGATAGTGGAGCAGACACACAGAAGGGCTCCTGAAACCATCATGAGCCGCCAGGCTCGTCCTAGATTACCTGCTCCACGTTCCTTTACCCAAGAAAGGAGATTCTCTGATTAGCCACTTTTACCTGGTGTTTGCTGTTAGATGTAGCCACACTGATTGCACTTTGCAGCTGACCTAGACCATTTTTACCTGTATGTGACAGCGATGCTGTATTAAAGTCTTGCCTCGCTGTGTGCTGCCATAAGCAACTGCTCTTTCGCTTCTCCTTCAGTGGGGTTTCTCAGGAAAGCTGAAGAGGGTGTTGCGTTTCACTTTTGCCTCTGGAGATCTTACCCAGCGCGTTCTCCCCACCATCATTTCTTTCCGGTTTTTCCATCAGTGTTTACCTTTCGGAAGCTGAGTCAGCTAGAGGGAGCGGTCAGGATTGAGAGCACAAAGGTGAAGGGAGGCAGAGGCTTGGCAGCGGGGCTCAGCACAGCCTTTGCAGGCGGTGGCGCGCTCTGCTATTACTTGCTGGGACCACAGCAGCTTGCTGTAGAGGGAGAAGTGGCGCTCATCCTTGGGCTCTTTGTTCTATCCTTTCTCTGTCTGTCACTAACTCCTTTGTGAATCAGTCTCCTTGGCCAAAATAACTGAGACTGAAGTACGAACGTTTACATCCGTCACACACACGCCGTCTCTGTGTCTGGTGAACATTTTCCCGAGGGGAGAATTATTCCAGCGTGCAATAAAACAAACAGGAACACAGTTAAACAGTGGGCGCAGCGATCTCTGGGCGCACGCTGTCCCTAGAGACCTTTGCTCCCAGTTTCAAGCGAGGCTTCGCCTGCTCCTTTTGATTAGGGAAGCGTTAGGGACTGAGAAACCAGATTTAGTTTTGCTACGGAAGAACAGCGGCTGGGAGTTGAGACCACATCAGACACCAGCAGCACAGATGTGAGATCTGCTTCTCTGTCCATGACCTCCCCACCTTGTAAATCTTTTCTATTGTACAATATTTTAAAGTTTCTCTTTGGTTAAATTGTGTGCTCCTATGTCCGCCTCACCTCCACTTTTACAGTCACCGTTTTAGCCTTAGTACCCCGCGTAGCCTTTGTGCTAGCTTCCGTGTTCAAAGCCAGCCCCAGCCCTGCTCACTGGACCCTCTGCACACCTCATTCGGAACATTTCCTGTGTTGTCTGGAAAACAGCAATTAAAAAAAAATATTTTATTTAACTCCGTCTCTTGAGGACCTACGCTTCTCTACAGCCAAGAGTAAGCCCTCAGTAAATATTTCCCGACCTTTGGCAGGAGTGATAGTCATAGAGCCTCTCAAATACTGTGACCAGTTATCACTGGCAACGTACTGGTTTAAAAATTTATCCTGAAATTTAAAAGAGAAAAGCAAAATTAAAAAAAAAAAAACTGTGAGAGCAAAGAGAGGGGGGAAGAACCCTGCTCAAGGCTGGAATCCACAAATTTGAATGTAGCTGGGAATCAGGATAGGAACTAAATAAGGACAGCTCGACGGACACTAGGAGAAGGGTTTTGCAATAGAGCGTCAGAAGTTTAAACAATCACGCAAGACGTTCTAATACGAAGTAGCATACACTTTGTAATGCAAAGAGGCTAGTGCTGGGAGTCAGGTTCCAGAGTTCATATTTCAGATCTATGTCTACTGCTCTGTGAATTTAGGCAAGTTACCTAACTTTTCTATTTCTGTAGCTTTATCCCTGGTCAGTCAAAAGTATCTGGGAAAGCGGCTAACATATTGAAAAGACTAATACTTAATTGTTATAATTCCTCATCTTTAAGCATGATCCAGGCCAAATTTTGCAGTTTACCAGTAAGTGTGAATTATTAGTTACGTGCAGTCACGCTTCTTCTGAAGTCTGCTTTGGGAATGACACAGAAGTTGCTCTAAGAATATTACACCAGATAATTAGTTTCTTTATTGCTTCCTTTTGAACTCAAGTACTCTCCCCAGTTCTCAATTAAGCACAGTTGGAGCGTGAAAGCTTCCAAACCTTGGTCTTGCTTCTTATTATATTTAATATTGGAGGGTTTTTGTTTTTTTGTTTTTTTGTCTTTTTTGAGGCCGGGTCTTGCTACTTAGTTCAGGCTGGCCTCGAACTCATTATGTAACCCAGGCTGGCCTCGAACTCATGGTGATCCTCCTGTCTCAGTTTCTCAAGTCCTGGGCTCAGGCCCAGCATGGTTTTGCCTTTTGTAGTAACAACTTTAAAATCCTTATTTAAATTTTAGTGTTTGTGCAACCTGTGACTTCTAATTCTCAGCTATTTGGCCCTTGAGACTTCTAGGGTGATTCAAAACACCATAGTTTCTAGCCTTTGGGTACTTACTCTTTCCCTCTTCCTTCTTTCCCTTCTGCTATTTTGCGTCTGATGAGACTGCAATCTTTGGCTAGTCTACTTCAGTTTTCTTCACTATGTAACACTCACAAAATGAAGTGCCATGTCTGTCAAGTTTGCTGCTATACTGTATGGCCAATGCCAACCATGGTGCCCTGCACATGAATATTTCAAATGATTTAATAAAGAGATATGAATAAACATGCTCTACTAGAGCCATGGAATATAGGAGAACCAACCTAAGTTTTAGATCTGGGTTCTAATTCTCCCAGTTTTTCTAATTGCATCAAATTGCTTAACAAACGTTCATCTGTGTTTCTTCGTTTCTTGTGAGTTTTTTTTTTTTTTCTCTCTTGTCTTTTTGGGACAGGGTCTCGCTATGCAGTTCAGGCTAGCCTTGGGCTCACTTTGTAACCCAGGCTGGTCTCGCACTCGCGAAGATCCTCCTGCGTCAGCCTCCGGAGTGCTGGGATAACAGGCATGCACCACCACGCCCGGCTCTTCGTTTCTTGTTTTAAAATGAGAAAATATCTATTTTACAAATAAAAATATAACGAGTTTATTAAAATTCCTGTTAAATTTATAAAAATTATACTGAATATACAGTATTTCACAGGCACTGTTTCAAAATATGAGCTCTTACAATTTGGGGAAGTACCACCGCTCTTAAGAAACTACCCCCGCAGTCTCAGAACTGCACGGAGCGGGCGCGCCAGGTGCTCCGGGACCCGGGGAGGGAGGCCGGCGGGGGCGGAGACGCGCCGGGGCCACCGCTCGCGCAGGTGCCTGTCCGGGGCCTCGCTACGCCCCGCCTCTCGCCCCTCGGCCGCAGAGCGTCGATCCGGCCCCGCTCACGCCCCGTCCCCGCGTCCTGCCGACCCTCAGAGCCCCGGAGCCCCGGA